TAGGTGCAAGCTTTGATGGTCAAAGTATCGAGTTAGAGGCGATATTAAAAAAATTAGGATTTAGTAAACCCAGCAGAATGAATTTACAAAATTTTGCATTGAGTGATTTAAGTTGGAAAAATAAAGAAAAAGATTTTATCCATGATCGTTGGAAAGATTATACCTATCGTATTGATTTAGCAAAACAATATGATGAAGAGAAATATGGGAAAAAATGAGTTTAAAAAAACAGACCAAATGATTGACGAATTAGCAGAAAGGCTTTTTATTATTGAAGGTGAAGTAACTGATCTATTGACTAGTGAAACCATGCAGAACTTAAATACAAATATACAAACTGGTACAGGTGCAATAGCTGTCGGTTCAGTACTAGTCGGACAAATTGGGAATGCTGCCTTAGCTAGTTTTGCAGCTAGTGATGAAGGTATTGATGTTAGTGATTTTGCTTTAGAAATCACAGATAAAAATAATCAAAAGCATTATTTTAAAGGATGTTTTCCAGAAGTTAATTTTAGAATTGGTGACAATATTAAAGTTATGGCTGAGCCTTTTACAACAAAATATTCAATAGTAAAAGCAGTTGTTGAACCAAAAAATCAATATATATGGACAAGTCAACAAATTATAAAAGGACGAATAAAATATAGGATTTTTGGGATAAAATTAATAGGTGGTGTAGGAATATTTGTCATGATAATTTTTATTTTATTTTCGATATTTGAGGATAATGGTATCTCATTTCTTTTAAGTCAGCCTATATTTATTTCTTTTTTCATTTGTTTATTTATTTGTTTATTTATTGGATGGAAAGTGGGTGCAAGCTTTGATGAGCAAAGTGTTGAATTAGAGGCAATATTAAAAAAGTTGGATTTTAATAAACCAAGTATGGCAAGTTTAAATGATTTTTCAGTTTTCTCAATGAATATAAAGAACAAAATAAAAAGGGATGAGTATCCTGATCGTTGGGAGCAATATACTTATTGTTTAGATTTAGCCAAACAATATGATGAAGAAAAATATGGGAAAAAATGAGTTTAAAAAAATAGATCAAAATTTAAGGATCTAGCCAATATTCGTTACTTGCATTGATTTCACTCCCAAATTTTGCTGATTAACTGATATTGGCAGATTAACTCCACCAATATCTTAAAATATGAAAGAAGATGGGTGCAGAAAAGCAGATAGAATCAATCCGATCTAACATCCCACCATGACCATGAATCAACTGTCCCCAATCTTTGACACCACGGTCACGTTTGATGGCAGACATTACCAAACCACCGAAAAAGCCAAAGATACACACAACCAGTCCTATCAATGCAGCTTGTAGATAGCTAAATGGAGTGAGCCATGCCATAGCGACACCTAAAGCTGTGGCTAAAACAATACCACCCACTAAGCCTTCAACTGTTTTTGATGGTGATAAGACCGGTGCAACCTTGTGCTTTCCAAAAAGCTTACCACAGACATATTGCAAAACATCGGATGCTTGAACGACCATAATCAGCCAGATTGCTAACCAAATCGGTTCACCTTTAAAACCATTTAGTTTTAAATTGAGTAATGCAGGAACATGGGAAATACAGAAAACACAGACCATGAGTCCCCATTGAATTTTTGAACTACGTTCAAGGAAGTGTTTGGTATCTTCTTGTTTTAGACTGGCTATTGGAATCAGTAAAAATACATAAAGTGGAATAAAAATTGAATATAAGCCGTACCAATCGATATAGATCAAATAATATTGATAGGGAATAACAAAATAAAAAGCGATAAGTAAAGGAAAATAATCACCACGCCGTGTCGGCAATAGACTGGTAAATTCTCGTAGAGCAAACAGGGAAATAATCCCAAATAAGACAATAAATGCAGTTTGACCCAATAGGATGGCTGCGCCAATGACGATCAACATCACCCACCAAGCATTGATCCGTGCATTTAAATTATCAATCACTGATGAGGGTTTTTGCCCAGCTTTTTGCTTGAGAATAAAGCCCACACTAGATGCAAATACTAAAATTCCTGCAAAAATACCAAATAAAAGATAGGTTTTATTCAGATTATCTAAAATCATTGATTCTCAACCTCTTTTAATTGTAATAGCTGCTTCTGTGCATAATCTATAAATGTGGCTTTATCCATTTCTAAATGTTGTTCTAAAGGAAAGCCAAAGCATACGGTAGACAGTAAAGGCAAAGGAACAAAAGAGCCTTTTGGCATGACACGTCTTAGATTTGAAATCCAAACAGGGACAATCTCAATCTCAGGGAATTGTTTATGTAAGTTATAGAGACCACTTTTAAAAGGTAATAGCTCAAGATCATCATCAAGATTTCGAGTACCTTCAGGAAAGAAAATAATGGAATAACCCTGAGCAAGAGCGTCTTTCACAGGTTGTAAAGGGTCTGCATTATCTTCGCGATTACGTTGAATCGTAACACCATTAAAGGTGTCTTTAATTAAAAATTGTCTAAAGCCATCTTTCAGCCAATAATCTGAAGCAGCAACAGGTTTAGTTTTACGACGCATCAGTTTTGGAAGTGAAGACCATAATAAGATAAAGTCGATATGACTATTGTGATTGGCATAGTAAATACGTTGTTTCATCTCAGGCTGACAACCAACCCATAAGCTACGAGCACCAGTTAAGAGTCGTGCGCCACGGCGTGTCAAAAATGCGATAAAGCGAGCAATAGAGTGTGATGCTAAATTTCCATTAGATGAATCTAAGTGTTGAGTCTTTTGTTCTAAAGACTGTTTATTGTATGACTCTTTATCTTGTTCGGAACGTTGTTCAGGTAGTTGATTCATTCTCTAAGCCGATTGATATTGAAGCATTTTATTGTGGGGCAAGCTGTATAATAGGGTGATTAAAGTACAAAATTCTACTTTTTAAGTGACTAGAATAAAAATATAACCAACCTTAGTTTTGAATAAAAAGTAAAAAGCTTGGTCTCCATTTACAAATTTATCATTTCTGTTTTTTGAATCATAGAAGAATTTTATAGCATTTCAAGATCTTCACTGCTGAGAAGCTGAGAATTTTATTGATTTAAGACGATTCAAACCATCATACGATAACAATTGATATATCAGCTAAAACTGTATCAGTTGAGGTTAAAATCGCTCTAAATAATTCTAGAAATCAAAATCATTAAAACCAGATATTGTATCAATAATAAAGCAATTTGAAGTTTTAAAAGTTTAAAGCATCCTGCAAAACGCTTTGACCAATCACGTCCTGCTTTGGATGCGGGCATCAATTTCATACTCACTAGGGTTTGATCAAATTGCAGGGTTAAGTTTTCAATAGATTCAGTTTGGGATTCTCGTGCAATCATTTTAATGAGTTGAGCATCAAACTTAACTCTAAATGAGAGGTAGTGATGAAGCCCAGATAATAACAATGTAATGACAATGAACGTCCAAAACTCAAAGGATTGCCAGCCTTTGAACAGGATGGCAAAAATAGATAAGGCAAAAGCCAAATAACCTGAAAGTAATATAGCTGTGGTTGCAGACAACAGTTGCGCAACCACATAAAAATTCATTTTCATGGCGCTAAACCTTTCAGTTTTAGATGGTAAATTTCTAATTCTTCCAGTTGGGCTTGTTTTAATACCACCCAAGGGCGAGCTTTACGAATAATGCTTACCATTTCATCAATATTGGCATCTTGGTTTTGTTGAATCAGCCAAGCAGTGAGTACAGCGCTACTTCTTGAATAACCTAAGGCACAAAAAATCAGAATATTTTGGGTAGAGCTATGTTCAAGCTTCGACATCAAATCATTTAATCGTGCTACGGCAAACTCAAGCTGATTGGCTTGTAATGGAATCAGATCTAGACTGAGATATTGCTGATATGCCGTTGCATGGTTTAGGGGTAACTCAGCAACACAATCAAATATTGCATTGTATTGGTGGTGATCTTGTTGTACTGGAATTCTTCCAATATAGATTTTTTTAAGTTCATGTTGAATGATAAAAGAATCTTCGGGATGTTTTTTGGTCCAAACACGACTATTAAGCCAAGCAAAGATTAAATAAGGCGCAAGCAGTATTTGCGCAGCAACAGTCATTTTACCATTTTCTTGTTTTTGAAAAAAATGTGGACGTACAAAACTATAGCTATGTGCAACGATAAATAGACTCACAGCGGGGTAAATTAGCCACAATCCCCAAGGTCTAAACTCGTATGCTATGATAAAGAAAATCACTGAGCCACAAAGGTAATAACTACCAAGCTTTAAATGCTTTGCTGTTAACAGTTGCAGTCCATCTTTTCTAAATGGGGATTTTACTGAAATTGGAAATAACCATAAGCATAAAGCGCCAACAAGTATTCCTGTAGGAAGATCAATAAAATGATGTTGCCATGTCGTGAGTACAGAGATTCCAATCAGCACACACCAAAAATCGACCACATATTTCCATGCCCCAAATACATGGCGACGATAGAAATCCCAAAGGATAATCAGCAAAACAATATGTAATGAGGGCGCTTGATTAAAGGGCTTATCAAAGCCCATCAGGACATCAAACCATAGACCGAAAAAACCATCTAAAGGTGGACGTTCAAAACTAAACTTTAAAGGGAACAGTAAGAAGCAACTAATCGAAATGACTTGCGCTAAAAATAGCCTAAGCGCTTGTTGTTTAAGCTCAAATTTGTTCCAACAAAGTAATAAGGAGAGGCCATAAAACAGGTCAATTGACCAATACGGTACAATTGTCCAAGCCCAAAGTGGAATATGCTTTTCCCAAGCAAAGACAATACTTGGAACATCACTCAGACCTGATGCATATTGATTTGCAAAGCCATAAGTGAGGAAAAAGAAAGGCGCAAGAAAAACTAAGCAAAGTACGCCCCATTTCCATGTCCCAGTTTCTTTGATGAGTGTTTGCATAAAACATCCGTAGATTTTTATTCTATTTAAATTAAAAAATTGGTGACTTAGATTGATTTATATCAAGTCACCAACTGTGATAGCAGAAATTTTATAGCTTTTGTGCGACTGAGACGGTAAATATTCCAAACTCATCAATACATTGGTCGACCTTTTTAAAGCCAGCAGCTTCAACAAGTGCATCCATTTCCGCTTGTGAGCGTAAACGCATTACCCATGCATCACCTTCACGATGTGAGGTTAGTGCACGCGCAATGAACTCTTGCTGTGGGTGCCAAATTTGACCAGTATAAATCAAATAACCATCTTTAAGGATTGCTTTGCTTAATCCTTCAAGTGATTGACGTAGCAAATCATTGTCTGCAAATAACTCATATAAACCCGAAACCACGGCAAGTGATGGTTTTGGTTTAACAGAGGCCAAAGACAGTGTATCAAATGCATCCGCTTGAACAAATTCAGCAATGTCATTCAGTCCACGTGCTGCAATCATTTGCTGACCAGCTTGTACATTGATATCGCTATAATCACGCAATAAAATCGAATCTGGTCGTTTTGGTAATTGAACCACAGCATCTAAAATATAACGTCCATGACCAGATGCAATATCCATGATTCTCAATGGTTTGCGTTTTTTAATTAGAATATCTGCATATTTCTGAACCAAATGTTCAATGTTTTGTTTACGAACACGGATCCCACGCCAACCAATCGCATTTAAATACTGGCGGTCAATGATTTTGCCAATAGGATTGGAACTTTCAGATTGGTTACGATAAACAAAGTCTAAGGTACTTCCAGAGTCATAGCCTGTGTCTTCACCAATTTTTAAGCCTTTAGATAAATGGCTACCAATTTTTAGATTCTTTTTGGTGATTTCCCAAAATGCATTCTTCATTGATTTAGCGGGTAATGGTGAACTGAGATCTTCAGCGATAGCACAGCTTGGACCAATTTTGTCCGCATTTAAAACGTCTGGGGCTTGATATTCAACAGCAAAACATTGCTGGATAAATCGGCGTATTTTTTCTGTTGCTATATGGCGATCTTTTTCACCTAAAGTATCGTGAAAGAAGCCATCTAAAATATGTAATTCTTTTTTAGGATGCGGAAGCTTTTGGTAAAATTCACGTTGCGGTTTTTGAAAAACCACAAAATCTGAACCTGAGCATAACACTTGAGTCGGCACAAAGATATTTTGTGAATCTGCAACAATTCGCTTAGAGGCATCATAGAGTCCGAGCAACATTCTCACCGAAATTGCTTTAGCAATTTTAGGATCGGTATCATAGCTTTGAGCACGTTCTTCATCATGGGTCAGCATTTTGGCTTTAACATAACTTTGGATGAAAAAATTACCGCGAATTTTTTCCATAACTCTTAAACTAGGTTCGGCAAATGGCACATAAAGCTTGATGTCAAAAGCAGGTGAGGCGAGGCACAAGGCGCGAATTTTAGGTGCATAATCATGTACCCATGTTGCGGCCAATACCGCACCTACACTTTGTGCAACTACAGCAATATTCTTGGCGTCGATGCCATAGTTTTCTTCGATATGTTGGACAAAATATTGAATATCTTTTACACATGCTGAGAAGCTAGGTGCATCACCACGTTCACCAGGGGAATCGCCGTGACCGCGGGCATCCCATGCAAAGAAATCAAAATCACTTAAATTGAGTTCCTTGACCAAATGCGCCATACGTCCTGAATGTTCATGTCCACGATGAAACAGAAGAATGGCTTTTTTTGTTTCGCTTGGTGAGTTGGTTGCCCAATGTTGATAAAACAATTCTGTTCCATCATGACTCTTAAAGGTGTGATGACTGTTGTTATACATACGAATTTACCCTAAATATGAAACTGTTTTATAAAGCTGTTTTTAAGCTATTTTTAATTCGGTTATAGATGGTTAAACTAAGCAGCAGACCAATTAAAATGAGTATGCCATTACAGATTAAGCCGAGAAGTTGTAAATTTGTAGTGAATAATGGCACGGTGATAATCACGACTGTGATTAAACTAAACCAAAATGCACGGTCACTTTTCCCCATTGGGCCATCATAACGACGTTCTTGCCCAATCAGTGGCGCCATTACACCAGTGTATTCACTTAGAATTGCAAGGAAAGCAATCAATAACAGTAATTTTGCACTGATAAAGCCAAAAGCAATCAAGCATAGATAGAGTGCTGTGTCCGAAATAACATCACACAATTCATTGTAAAATGCACCTAAGTTGGATTGTTGTTTAAATTCACGAGCAAGCATTCCATCGATGGCGTTGAAAGCCATTCGTAGCAACATCCACAAGGGAAAGAGCAATAACCACCCATTTACAGCATGATTCAGATAATACTGGTATAGAAAAAAGCTTAAACCTAGCGATATAAACATCGCTAACAAGGTGACTTGATTTGCTGTGATTCCGATATTAAAAAGCTTTTGAACAAAAGGGCGCAGTAAGTTTTGAAATGCTGGTTTTAATTGATAGATTGATGGCATTGTTCTAGTAATATAAGGTATATGACAGGATTTTAATCAAGTTTTCCATGATTTTACAAGTATTAATTTTCATCATTTAAATTTGTATTGTTATTTTAAAATTTATATAAATAGTCCTATAATTCAAATGTCTTCTTAATTTTGATCTTGTTTATTCTATGACTCCTGCTTGCAAAGTTTTAAAATCAAATAAAATTGAATTTTCAATTCATGAATATGAACATGATGTAAATGCAAAAAGTTTTGGCTTAGAGGCTGCTGAAAAATTAGGTTTAAATGTCGAAGAAGTGTTTAAAACATTGATGGTGACAGATGATAAAAACTATTTTGTTGCCATCCTTCCAGTGAACCATCAATTAAATTTAAAGAAAGTGGCGAGTACTTTTGCTTGTAAAAAACTACATATGGCTGATCCTAAAGATGCAGAGCGTTTAACTGGATATTTAGTCGGTGGAATTAGTCCTGTAGGTCAAAAAAAGCGTTTAAAAACTGTGATTGATGCTAGCGCAACAGCATTAGCAATGATGTATGTCAGTGGTGGTAAACGTGGTTTAGACATCGGAGTGAAACCTCAAGACTTAGCCAAGGTGTTAGGTGCAAATTTTGCTGATATTGTTGATGAATGAGATGTGTTTTTAGAGTTAAATTTAAAAAAAACTGCTATTCACTATATTAGTAACAAAAATATTGACTCCACTAAGGCAATAGAACTGAAAATTAAAGACAAAGATTACAGTCATTAATTTAAGATACGAACCACCTTTGCGGTGGTTTTTATTGCATAGATGAAAGTGGAACAAAATTAAGTAAGCAAAACAGGTGGTAGTTTTAAAACCTAAATAATTTTTTCTATATTCATCAGATTTTGGACTAATAAGCCAAAATCTCACATTTCTAGCTAGCAGCGACACACGTTATTTCAACGTTATGCCTGATTCCTGAGTGGTATCTGTGCGAATAGCATCATCAGATTGATCATAGCGAGATTGGCACACCTGAATGGTGTCCATATTCTCGACGGTCCAGTCGTAGAGCGCGTTAAAAGGCAATTTGAGTGATTGACCAAGTGGCGTCAAGGCATATTCCACGCCTAGCGTTTTCCCATCTATAACGGTGCGTGTCAGCATACCATTGCGTTCTAACTTGCGAAGTGTCTGTGTCAATACACGTTGGGTAATACCATCAAGGCGCCGTTTGATGGCGTTGAAGCGACGTGGTTCATGTAACACCATCAAAACCAGCATTGACCATTTGTCTGCGATTTGATCGAGAATGGCACGGCTTGGGCAGTCGGCACGGTAGATTGGATCGTGATCAGGGTTCATTGGTATGCTCCAAAATACTTAGGATGCTTAAGGTGCGTAATTGACACCAAGTATACATAAGATACCATGATTGCACAAAGCTAAAATCAAGGGTATATGATGACCATTCCAACTTATTCCACACTTCACATTGAGCATGATCAAGGCGTGGCGACTGTCAGCATTAACAATCCACCAGTTAATGTATTGGATGTTGCATTGATGAGTGATATTCGAGCTTTTCTCACTCAGGTACGTGATGACCCACAAACACGTGTAATCGTGTTCCAAAGCGCCGATCCTGAGTTTTTCATCGCTCATGTAGACATGACCTTAATTGATGAGCCAAACGCTTTTGATCAGTTCGCAAAAGATGTACCTATTGGATTGAATCCATTTCAGGCTTTGGGAGAGATGATTCAGGCACAGCCGCAAGTGACAATTGTTAAGCTCGAAGGCTTGGCGCGTGGTGGCGGTGCTGAATTTGTGGCAGCAGTGGACATGGCATTTGCTGCTATTGGGCGCGCTGGTCTCGCCCAATGTGAGGCATTGATGGGGATTATTCCTGGCGGTGGTGGTACTCAATATCTTTCACAGCGTATGACACGGGGGCGTGCATTAGAGGTAATTCTTGGTGCTGACCTTATTGACGCTTTGCTAGCCGAACGATATGGTTGGGTAAATCGTGCGCTTCCGGCAAATGAGTTAGACGCTTTTGTTCATCGCATCGCCACAAATATTGCAGCTTTACCTGAAGGGGTCATCGCCGCTGCAAAGAAAGCAATCCCACCAGCGGATTTAAGTGAAGACTTCCTTCGAGAGCACAAGGCATGGGCTGGTCTGTTTGCGCGTCCGGCTGCTGAAAAACTCATTCGTGGCGGCTTGCAGGCAGGTGCTCAAACAAAAGTAGGCGAACAGGATTTGGAGCAACTACTCCGCGATTTGTCTGCATCCTGAGGTCTTGCTGCTGTCTAATATTCTGCTCTAGCTTATTCTTGAGATTTGAGACAGAGAAATACAGCAACCCATTTTCCTTAAGCCTAGCGCTATTTATGCAATTGAGAGGTAATGACAAAAGTTTGAAGCATTGACCCTCTATAGGGAATAAGCCATATTTTTGCTACAGTGAACCTAATTAAGATCATCTATTTACTAGGCCTCGCATTTGCGGAGTTTTTAATGCTGAATAAAAGGAAAACTTGATGGAATTGCCCAATATTATTCAACAATTTATTGGAAACAGCGTTTTAGAGCCAAATAAAATTGGTCAGTCACCATCGGATGTTTATTCTTTTAATCGAAATAATGAAACTTTCTTTCTTAAGCGATCTAGCACTTTATATACAGAGACCACATACAGTGTCTCTCGTGAAGCGAAAATGTTGAGTTGGCTCTCTGATAAATTAAAGGTGCCTGAACTCATCATGACTTTTCAGGATGAGCAGTTTGAATTCATGATCACTAAAGCGATCAATGCAAAACCAATTTCAGCGCTTTTTTTAACAGAGCAAGAATTGCTTGCTATCTATAAGGAGACACTCAATCAGTTAAATGCAGTTGCTATTATTGATTGCCCTTTTATTTCAAGCATTGATCATCGGTTAAAAGAGTCAAAATTTTTTATTGATAACCAACTCCTTGACGAGATAGATCAAGATGATTTTGAGGCTGAATTATGGGGAGACCATAAAACTTACCTAAGTCTTTGGAATGAGTTAAATGAGACTCGTGTTGAAGAAAGATTGGTTTTTTCTCATGGCGATATCACGGATAGTAATATTTTTATAGATAAATCTGGTGAAATTTACTTTTTAGATCTTGGTCGTGCTGGATTAGCAGATGAATTTGTAGATATATCTTTTGTTGAACGTTGCCTAAGAGAGGATGTATCTGAGGAAACTGCTAAAATATTTTTAAAGCATTTAAAAAACGATATGCCTGACAAAAGGAATTATTTTTTAAAACTTGATGAATTGAATTAACTCCAAGCAATATCTAAAAATACTTAGCTGTATTTTTTAGTTGCTAATTTTTAAATAAATAAGTGAAAAGTTAGTGGAACTACTGATTTAAAGTTTTATATAGCCAATAAATCTAAATTTTGGTTTTTAAAATGAACTTATTTAAAATAGCTAAAGCTGTTTATTAGCTTAACTTGTGATTTAAGTTTTTTTGAATATAAAATTGTTAATTTATTAGCTTTACAAGTTTATTTAAATTTCATCGTGCAAAGATTTTAACCAATTTTATTATTAATAGTATTTTTTTGTCTGCTTTTCTTTTCTTAGTCTTTTATCTATCTGTCACCCATGTAGTATTTTATTAAATTCTTATGGGAAATGACGAATGTTAAATTATCTTAAGAGCTTTAATAATATCAATACTTATTTGATTTTATCGATAATTCTGCTGTTAATCATAATATCTCTAGATTATTTCTAAACTGAATGAATGTTTATAATGTGTGATTCATATTGCTATTGAAATCGCCTTCTCACTTTGAAAGAAGGCGAGGATGAGCGGCTTTTATGTTGATTTATCATTTTAAAAATGTCTTATAAAAGAAGCCTAACGTGTTTTCTTATATAGGTTTAAACATAATTGTTGTATATCTTAAATCTAATTGATCTTATAATTTTCCTTTATTTTTTTGTATTGTTTTGCAGGTTTAAAAGTGAAAATTTCTAAAGGATTATTGAATATCATCAGCTACGCTTGTTTAATCATCAGTTTTCCAACGATTGCTAAAACCAGCACAAGTTTAGTTTCACCTCAAAAAGGTGTGATTTGTGATCAATATATTTGTGTAAATAAGAAAGGTGTATCAAAATCACTTACGGCTCAATATTTAGGAACCAAAAAAGCGAATAAAGTTTTCTCACAAGGTGATTTTGATCGTTCTGCATTTACTTTCTCAAATGGAGTATTCTGCGATACAAATACAAAACGATGCCATGTAGATCGATATTTTGACAATGGACATCGAAGTAAAGTTGATCAAAAGATAACAGATCAGCTTTTTAATCATAAGTAGTTCTTTGCCATAAATCGGCTAAAGAGTTCACCCGCAGATGGGCTTTTTGATTTATCTTCAAATTTTTAGAATACTGTGTTCTATTAAATAAGATTGTATAAATCCATATACATGTTAATAATTAGGAATAGATTTATTAAATCATTCCTTCTTCCCCCTCTGAATTGGAATTTTAATTTGTCTAACAAGCCCTTCAATCGAAGGGTTTGTTCTATAAAAATTATAAATTTAGTCATTTCATCAATTACTTATGTTTTTTGTAAAATAATTCATATTTTTGTTTAAAAATGTGACTTGTTTTGCTAAATTCCGCTTGGATTTATTGAACAGAAAAGTAATGAATATGAATAAATATTTTGCAGAATTTATTGGAACATTTTGGCTGGTCTTTGGAGGGTGTGGTAGTGCAGTACTTGCTGCTGCTTTTCCAGAATTGGGTATCGGTTTTGTTGGTGTTGCACTCGCGTTTGGTCTCACTGTACTGACTGGTGCTTACGCATTAGGTCATATTTCAGGTGGACATTTCAATCCTGCAGTAAGTATAGGTTTATGGGTTGGTGGTCGTTTTAATGCAAAAGACTTAGCACCATACATTATCGCTCAAGTCGTAGGTGGTATTTTCGCGGCATTTATATTGTATTTGATTGTACAAGGTCAAGCAGGATTCACTGGTACGGGCGGATTTGCAACAAATGGTTTTGGTGATTTATCGCCTGGAAAATATTCTTTGGTTTCTGCATTATTAATTGAGATTGTCTTAACTGCTATTTTCTTAATTGTAATTCTCGGTTCTACAGATAAACGTGCACCAGCAGGTTTTGCGCCTATTGCTATTGGTTTGGCATTAACTTTGATCCATTTAATCAGTATTCCTGTCACCAATACTTCGGTCAATCCTGCACGTAGTACAGCAGTGGCTTTCTTTGCTGAAACAGCTGCACTGAGTCAATTATGGCTTTTCTGGGTTGCACCAATTGTTGGTGCTGTGATTGGCGCTTTAATTTATAAATGTTTTGAGCAAAAAAATAGCCAATAACATTAAAGATCTTTCATAAATCAAAAAATGATCATGTAGAGTGAATCATATTGGTATTGAAAGTTCCTTCTCCCTTTGGGAGAAGGCTAGGATGAGGGTACTTTTATGTTGATTAATGGTTTTAAAAAGGACTTATGAAAGAAGTCTATTATCAATGCGCCTAACTATAGACAACATTATAAAAACCTCCCTAGGGAGGTTTTTATAATGGTTGAGATTAGGCTTAAATAAGTGGTACTTCAGCTAATATTTTTTGAGCTGTTGCATCGCCATTTAAGTATGCGCCATGAACAGTACCCGCATATTTCAAGCTACAATGTTCGCCAGCGAAGAAGATTTGTTCTCGAATTGGTTTGTGCAATACCTTAACAATATCTTCAGAGTGCTTTAGTGAGGGAAAACTAAAAGAACCATAACTATAAGGGTCGGAGCCCCAACGTGTAACGATGAGTTTTTTAGGTGTATGGGGAATATTGTTGAATTGTTTTTGCAAGCTACTAAAAATAAAGTTTGATATTTCATGATCCGCTGAATTATCGATAAACTCAGATTGCTTTCCTCCAAACAGCATTAAATAAATTGGTTTTTTATAAATTCCAGATAAGTCAAGGATATTAAAACAGCCAAGCTCATTCCAATAGAAATCACTTATCTTGTCTATCGGCATTTTTGATCTAAAAGAGAGTGGTTGTTCTAATTCGAAAAATACTTTATTGAAGGATCCAAATCCAATATCTTGAATAGATTGCGCATAGTGATGAGGTAATGCTGGATAAAATGCTATATGGTTTTTCTTTAAGATTCCGAGTGGGACAGTAACCACTACGCGGGAAGCTATATAAAAATTATCATTGGAATCAATGATTTTTACATAATCATTTTCACAGATGATTTTTTTTACATCTATATTGAATTGAATGTCGATTTTTTTTGAAAGCACGTCTATAACTTGAGCATAACCATTGGGAAAAATAACTTCATCACCTTCAAAATAACCTTCGTAATTTTTATAATTCGATGAAAGTAGCTCAAGATTGGTCGCAAATGGATCATTTGCTATTCGGTTGAAAAAGTTAAATAATAATTTTTTAAGATAATCTTTTGAAAATGTATTACCTGAATAATGTAAAGAAGAAATTATTTCTTCAGTCGCGTTGAGGGCCGATAGCGTTTGTGTTTGAGAAAGTTGCTTTTCTATTTCTTCTACATAAGATTCAAACTCATGGACTTCTTTGTCAGAAAATAACAAGCCATTTTCATGGAAATATTGCGATTTATCATAGTTAAATACTGTTGTTTCGATATGATTCTCTTGGGTGATTTTCCAGATAGGGTTACCTTCAACACCATGAATCCATGATGCACCTAAATCAAAAACATCAGCATCAGATTGCAATGAATCTATGCGCCCACCTATGCGAGACCTCGCTTCGAGTATGGTAACTTTTTTACCATTTTCTTGTAATTTTTTAGCGCATGCGATTCCTGCTATTCCAGCGCCAATAATAATAATCGGTAAATTAATATCGCTATGTTCTAACATAAAAATCTATAGCTCTGTTCAATATCCTAAAATTAAGATAATACACCTTATACTTCTCAGATAAAATTATTTGATTTTCATTTTAAAAAATCAATAAAATATATTTTATCACATTGATTACAGGCTCTTTAGAATGGCTGAGATTGTTGAATAATAATCTTTTAATATGAGATTTTTTGTTTTCGATGAAAGCGCAAAATATGATGAAATTAAAAGCATGCTTATGCGACCAATGAGTGCGATTAAAGGCTCCTATTATTAAAAATAAATATCATCTAATAGACTTCTTTCATAAGTCCTTTTTAAAGCCATAGATCATCTAAAATCCCCCTCATCCTAGCCTTCTCCCAAAGGGAGAAGGGACTTTCAATACCAATCTGATTCACTCAATATGGTCATTTTTTGATTTATGGGGGAACTTTAATTTATTGAATTCAAATGTTTTTTATGAGTATGGATTGTTTTTAATATTATTTCCCCTAGCTAAATATATTTATAATTTTGCAATTTTGTTACTGATCAATATTTAAAATATATTTACAGGAATATGAGTTGAGTAGACGGCGTAATCAAACAGGAATGAGTTCTTTTAATTTATCTAAAAAGTATCATTGAAAACTACTCTTGATTCTACTAGAATAAAAAAACTTCATTGGGGAGTAGCCGCTTTTTACCTTGGGTAAAAAGGTGATGGTCAACATAATTGCTTAAACAAGCATGGTCATCATAGCAAAGAACCAAAAGATCTTCTGATCATAGATTTCTTTTTGTTGGCAAGACCTTTGATTTATTACTCTGCTATGGCTAGCAAGAGTTATAAATCAATGGTAATTATTGCTAGCCAGAGAAATTATTATGCTATCCGCTTTCCTAATATCTCTTGCTGTAGTTGCTTTATCCGAAATGGGAGATAAGACCCAATTACTGGCACTACTGCTTTCTGCACGATTCCGAAAACCTATTCCTATTCTTATCGCTATCTTTCTTGCAACACTGGTAAATCATGGTGTTTCAGCCGTACTCGGGCAGTGGATTACGACTGTTCTTAGCCCAACTGTATTATTGTGGATTGTTTCTCTTGGATTTATTGGGATGGCCGTATGGATGTTAATCCCAGACAAGCTAGATGATGAATCTGAAAGTATCGATAAATGGCAAAAATATGGTGTCTTTGGCGCAACCTTTGTGCTTTTCTTTTTGGCAGAAATTGGTGATAAGACTCAAATAGCGACTGTGGCATTAGCTGCTCGTTTTGACAGTGTCGGTTGGGTTACTGTAGGTACGACGTTAGGAATAATGTTAGTGAATGCTCCAGCCGTATTTATTGGTAATAAGCTTGCAGAAAAGCTTCCAATTTCACTCATTCATAAAATCGGCGCACTTGTCTTTTTAATTATTGGTGTTGCTGCACTTATTCAACATTACCTTTTCTAATGACAATGAAGCGATTTCATCGAATACCAGTAAGCTGGCAACGTATGTTTTTTATACCGTATCTACTTGCACTACCACTGATCACTTTACTGTTATTAGGTTTAGCTGGGAGTTGGTCGGATAGTGTCCGTTTGGCATTTTTATCACTACCAGGGTGTTGGTTGTGTTTTCAAGCCGCAAAAAAGCCAAATTTATTTTGGAAATTATTTTCAATTGTTTGGTGGTTTATTTTTATATTTCATACCAGTTTACTCTCAGTAAGTTGGCTGTTGTTCAATAGTGATGCTGAAGCATATTCAATTATTGAATCTATTGCGAATACAACATTGAATGAAAGTTTAGAGTTTTTTCAACTACATTTTGGTTTTTTTATTCTATTTGTTGGCTTGATTTTAAGCGCTTTGATTTTATATTTTTATATTTTATTTAAATATTTTAATACGCGTGAGTTCCGTGATCAGAAAGTACATCGATTAGGGCGTTATGCTATAGGTTTGTTATTTCTACTGTGTACTGCCAGCTATGCAATTAAGCCTTCAATTGCTTTACATCCATTGCCATTTTGGTATGGATATTATGGCAAAATTCAGGACTTCAAACAACGTATTCTAAAACATGATCAGATACATAAAGAATGGACATTGAATGCAGAAAAACGCTTGGATTTTAGCGGTAAATTTAATAAAAGCCAGACACATACCATAGTTTTGACGGATAGCATTACCAGTTTTAATTTTGGATTATGCGGTTATCCAAGAAATACAACACCCGAGTTAAGTAAACGTAGTGACCAGTTCAAAGTATTCTGTCGTGGATATTCACCAGCATCTTCTACTATTCAATCTTTACGTTATTTATTTAATGACGGTACGCGCAATGTAATGGATGATCACGCACCTGAGAATATTATGGCATATGCTAAGGCAGCAGGGTTTAAAGTTTATTGGATTAGTAACCAAGATGATGTTTATATCTCTTCACTTTTTGCATCATATGCAGATGAAGCTGTTTTTATCAATAAAAAGTCAGGTCGTAGTAGCACGTCATTAGATGAAAATATTCTGCCTGCTTATAAAATTGCATTGGATGATCCAAATCCTCGTAAATTGATTATTCTGCATCTCATTGGTTCACACCCAAATTATAAGTTACGATACCCAGAACAATTTTCTAAGTTTAATGATTCTAGCAATGATGAGGTTGAAAAAAAACTTGAACGAAATGAGGTTAATCATTTAATTCAGTTAAAACGCAATGAATATGATAACAGCATACTTTACCAAGACTGGATTGTTGCAAAGTTATTCGATCTTTTGATTTCCACTCAATCTGATTTTAGATCTTTTACTTTTTTATCTGATCATGGTAATGAAGTAGGGCATGCTAAAAACTATGCTGGACATAGTGCAAATACAGAGGCTGGATATCGTATTCCAGTTATTATTTGGTATGATCATATGCCGTCTAAAGGGGTAAGAAGTGAACAACCCATTGATGCCAGTGACCTAGACCGTTATGTATTACACCTCATGGGTGCTCATGATCGGTTGGATCGTAAAGAAAAACTATGTTGGTTAGATCAAACTTGTAATTTTATTCCTCATTTACTTTGGCGTTAACTAAAACAAACAAGCGTTATTACAATTAGCTTTTGGTAAATTGTACAGCCCCGATTGATTGGATCAGATTTGCTTCGAAAAGATGTAGATGAAATATTTTTTAAAGAAGCGACACAATTCACAGATATCGTTAAATCTACTTTTTATTTTTCAATAAAAATATCACAATAAATCAATAAATAAGCTATAGATTAAAATCTGCTAGTGAAGTTGTAGATTAATTAAACTTGCTAAATAATCCCCTAAAATAAAAATTCCGATGAAATTTCTCAATTCTAAATGAGAATATTATCATTTATTACAATTGAAAATTTTAAAGAGATAAATCATAAGAAAAAGACCAATTCATCATAAATATTTAAAAAATCATAGAGTTAAACCTGTATAGACAAGCAGGGTGT